ACAACACGTCGTTAAAGTGCTTCAAAGCTATAAAGAGATTTTGGTGTGAACTCAGGTTGTTAGGGATGTTCACCTTTGGCCAAATGTCTCTCTTGAAAACACAAGTTTGCCCAAATTTTTTAACAGGGAAAAAGCAATGTACCAAACCGCGGAGCAGCTCCAGCCAAACACAGCGAATGAGAAAAACACATTAATTGATAAAAACACATTTGCACACATATTCATCTTGGCACATCAAAGGGATTCATTGATGTCACTGAACATGGGGAGTCTGCGGCTGGAGAGGGGAGATGTTGGTTATCCTTTCCTCAAAGGGTGCTGAGATGCTCCTGATGGGCCCCGCGCTCGAGAAGCCAGAGAGCGCTATAAACAGAATTTCTAATGTCAGGCGGGCGGGTGGGTGGGTTTAGGTAGTGAACTAGCAGGCTATGGGGTAGTGGGAGGAATTGACGCCAGCTCATGCTTTCCACAGAGACCAAAGAGGGAAGGATACAGACCAGGACTGACACCATTTCACACAGTTCTATACAAGTGATGTTAGGAAGTCAGCGTGAGCATCAACGGTCTGAAAACTGAAGGCATGATCCTGTAAGACTGTATAACAAAGGCTGTATGTGAAGCTACAGATTACAGAAGTGTTTCTTTCCACTCTGACGCCTACTGATTTCAATGTCTGTTACACACTGAGTGAATTTATACATGTAAAGTGGAATATTTGCAAACTGCTCTGATAATACAATCACCACTATACACTGCTTTGCTTTGTGTTGCACTAATTAGGCCTGTCCTTGAGTACCCCTGTGTCACATAAAAGTAACTGCTGAGACACACAGTTGTTGAGATACACAACAATTTCAACTGTAATCAATTAAAATGCTTCTATTTTAAAATGTGAAAGTGCACGCATCAGTCCAAACTCCTCCTCCTCAAACTAAAATCATGACGAATCTAATATTTCAAAAACGTTTATTAATTTGCCAAATTTAATTTAATTTCCTCAAGCCCTAGCACTGAGTTTATTATCAGAATGAATCACTCCAGACGAGAGCTCTCAGCCAGCGATGGCATTTCTGCGGTCGCTCGCGATCTGTTTTTAATTGAACAGTGCCACTAAATTGATGTAGATGTGTTTGCCTTTGAAGGAAAAATCTTTTAAAAACTATAAACCCAGTCAAAAATGTTAGCTCTGTTGACACAGCGCTTGGTTGAAAAAATATTTGCCGCGCTAACATTCAGGAACACAACACTGAGGGTTGTCAGAATGTGAGCCCTGTACACTGTTCCCTCTGTTGCAAAGTATCCACAGAGCCTCACCTGAGCACCCCTCCCCACCCCTCCTCTCCATCAACCCCCGACACTCACAGACCTTACACACACAAACGTGCAGCACGCATGGATGCATGTGTGCACATTCGCGTATGCAAGCAAGGTGAGCGAAATGCCAAGTGAGCCACCTGATGAAAAGACACCTCCACACAAACAGCGTTTGCTTATGCAGGGTGAGGCCCTTTTATTCAGTGGGACAATGTCTGTGTTGACTTTTTCTTTGTCTGCACATTTTTAAGCACCAAAAGCAGCAGAAAAAAACGGGGGAAGGAAAAAAAGAGTGGAAGTCAGAGAGGCATGCAATCGTAGCCACCGACATGTTCAGACTTATACAAGCTCTCCATTCATATCTCAATCTCAAACAATTTTCTATTCAACAATCATGCTCGGGAGTTGGAGTGTCCCGCTGCGCATTTGATGAAGATACATTCGAGCGACTAACCTCGCTCTCGCATACGTGCCACCTCTCACACACAAGAGGCATTTCACTCTTTGGTGATGATGATGATGTACTAGCAGAGTTATCTAAAAGTGCTGATGAGGCTGACAAGAGGTGGCGTCAAAGCAGAGTGTGTGCTCACCAATTAAATCTGGCACCAGTCTGTCACTACGGGAACAATGTGGCGATAATCACATCAATGAATTGACAAACAATAAGCTGGATTTGTCGGACTGACTTGGTAGGAAGGGGGGAAAAAAGAAAACTCTCTCTGGGCCTGGCACACCACAGCAAGCAGAAGTCTGGTGGAACATCTCTGCAAACATAAAAAACCTCCCTCCTCAGCTCTCAGTGGATTACAGCAGAATGTCAGCTCTGAGCAGGCTTTAAATCAGTTATGCTTGGCCCTCAGGGGAACTCTGTGCTGATCCCATGTAGGCCTGTCTCTCATTGCTCATGATAGGGTTGCCACATCCAAATTTAAAAGTTCGGGCCTCAAATCCTTCATCCTTCTGCACATTGCTGAGTGAAATCACTGCACGATGACTCTTGAGCAACATCTCGTATCTATTACTGAGCAGTGTGTTCCCTTAAATGCTGATATGTGCGGAATACATATGCATTACACTGCTTCAGTACTTTATTATTACGCAAAGATGGCAGACCGGAAGGGGGAGTTGTAAATAGATGCATGCAGGAAATGAAAAAAAACATGCCTCACACACACGTGCACACATTATTCTATCTGTAATTACAAAAAAATATATATATTTTACTCAAAGCAATTAAACTAAGAGCTGCAGAGAAGTCTGTCGGCTGGCAATAATCACGTGATCTGCTAGAGAGCCATAACTTTAATATGTCTCCATGCAGCACAAGTACAACCACATACCACACCACACTTATAAAACAAATCTGTCAGTCCCAGCAGGGCTTTCCAAGACACACACTATAATACACAGGGATTGTTTGTGAGAAGTGGCAACACAAATTAGGCTACCCTGTGGGCAAATTTTTTTATCTCACAAGCCAATCAGCATATTCCACACAATGATGCCTGATAAATGGGGCCGAGGAGTTCGGTTAAACTAAGTTGTTGGCCAGGCGTGGGTGCAGGCCGCTGGTAAATATCATCTGTACTGAACTTCATCCACAGGTGTAAACAAACCAAACCCCCAGAATGCGAGCCTAAAAAGGTGCTAAGTCGAACCTCTCTCATCAATCAAATTCACTGCGTTAAGCCACAGGCAATATGGAGGACCTTAAGACATCTGCTAAGTATGCCAGCCATTGTCTGCCTGCATGTTTTCTGCCACGCTGATGATTGACACAGTCAGCTCACTCTGTCCCATTGACCTCATTCTTTTCTCTTTCTAACATGGAGGATTATACCTCTGAATTTTAAATCCTCTCCAATTATTTGCTACTTTGCCTCGAGTAACAAGAACAGCAGTTTTTAATTTTCAACTTTGCTTTCCTGGACAAAAACACAAGACAGTGAGCGGCTTTCATACAAGACACAAGACAAAACAAAGCAGAGACTAGATAATGGGCTGCTAAAAATTCAGACAGTTACTTAAGACTGTTTGCTCCTTAATTATACTAAACACATCCAACAAAGTTTTCTGGTAAAAAATCTGTCAGAAAAAGCACAGCACGTTACGCTGCATTTACATTCCCGCGTGTTTATCTCTGACATTATCCTCTTCGAAGCTCTGGTGGCCAGAAGCAACGAGATAGACGATCTGCACACAGTGGTATGTATCACCTAGTGTGAGCAGAGTAGCCATTTAGTTAATGAGCCCCAATGGAGACCTCCAATGAAGCCATCAAGACTGCTCAGAATAACAATGGTCAACTAACGCCTTTCTAATTGAATGGAAGGTAGAGGGAGGCAAGGGGAGTGGGCCTGGAACAGTGAAAAGGAGACAGAAAAAAAGGGAAGGGGGGGCAAAGAGGGGGCCTTTTCAGTCAGATGCCTGCCAGGCCTTAACGAAAGTACTTGTTTTTCGGGGGGGATGTGACATGGATTGGGGGATGGATGAGCTCGGAGGAACACAGCTCTCCAGCAGGGATTATTTCAAGGAAGTTTGCATAGTTAAATTGCATTTAATAGGTTGCCATCCCAAATAGTGTTGGTGAAATTGCTTAAAATCTTGCATGTTTGTTAGGAATCAGCGTCCATTGTCACTACATATGACATGTTCTTTGACCTTAGTGTGGACTGTTTTTTTATATCATGAACTTACTTCTGTGACTTTATTAGTCATGTCTGCAGCATTGCTAACTGCTGTGAAATCATTGTACAGCCTCCACGCTTTATTAGCCTGTTGTTAAGGCGTGTTAAAATGTGAAATGTATGGATTATACTGGAGAAACCAAAGCAACTATAATCCCAACGCTGGCTGAAAGCCCTTCACAAGCTTCATGGACGACTGATGTGATGCAACAAGTCAATGAATCATTGCGAACTCCACATCAACAACACTTACTTAAGAGTGTCAACCCTTATCTAGACTTTTTAAAAGTCCCTGCACAACAGCTGTCACAGACACGGCAGTGAAATGCCTCCCATGTGTGTCAAAGCGAGGTATTACATTGTGTTACTGAAGGATATGACTTCAGGAACAGGTTATTTTTTTTTTTTATACTTTCTGCAGGGAATGTGTGCAAAAAGCCCGTAGGGTTCAAAAGTAGTGATAGTGGCTTGACTGCATACTGAGGGAAGGCCTTCCTTAAAAACAGAAGTGCAAACACAAAGGCAATCTTGCACTTCTAAAATACATTCTTTTGAAGAATACTTGCATCTACAGTGCAAAATATAAGAAACTAATGGTGGAAGCATATTAAATAAAAGCATGTTTAGTAAAGCAAGGTCACTTTAAAGTATGATCAACGTGCAGCATGGGTGTTGCAGGATATTTTCGACAAGGAATTGCCATAAATCATTCAAAAATAATACAGGAAAACAAAGAATGACTAATGTGTCTGAACTTTGAGCCGATTGAGAAGTTGTCAAATGCACGGCTTGTAGAGGGGGTGGGTGGCAGGGAGAAATTTATATCCCCAAAAAAAGAACAAAGAAGTAGTTAGTACTCCTTGAGAGGCCACTCGGAGGGAATATGGCGGTCTGGCAGTGCACAAGGAACTTTTACGCACGGCCAAAGTTTTTGCAGAGCGCGAGCAAACGAGGAAAAGGGAGGAAAGAGTAACATATCCACGGGGGGGAACTTACTGTTCGTGCACTCGGAGACAGTGACCCGTTGGATAGGTATGGATTGGTAAGGTCTGGGATCATGAGAAACGGGTAGCCTGGATAGTGAGGACTCTTAAAAAAGCCACCATCTTGCTGCCTCCTCAGTGCTGCAAGGAGAAAGAAAAGTGAGGGTTGATATAAAGGCACAAAAGCGACACAATTGCCAGCTGTGGCACATGAAGAGGTTTAGTTATATATGTTTTTTACCTTCATTGAAGTAGTCTCTTGCTTTCTCATAACTTTCTGAGTCTGGTCTGGTTTGGGGGCGCCTCTCAGCTTGCTGACAAGGGGAGAAATATACACACGGAGGGGGAGAAACTATTGAAACTTTCAACACTATTATTATTTCTCTTCACGCTGGGCAGCATGAGACGCTTTTTATATATTTGCAATGTCCTTACCTCTGAGTCTGACGAGCTGCTGTTGTTTTCCGACTCGTTCACTAAGGAGGATTTCACATCATCCAAATCCCTTTCCGCTGACACATTTTCGGATATCTTTTCCTCCTGCTCCCCTTCGTCTTTAAACGAAATCATCTCATCATTGGCCCCCAAATCATCCCCACCACCTCCGTTCAGCTGAGGCATTTTTGCAGGATAGATCGTATCGAGGTGAGGCGAGAAACAAACAAAAAAAAAACAATCGCAGTATATTTTTATATGATCAGATCAATGTAGTCCAAACGTGTCACTGGAGTAGTAAACTAACTACAAGAAAAAGTGTTCATGTTTCAAAAGCCCCTTTTCATCCTCTGAACGTGCTCCACTGGTCCATGACGAGCCTCGCGATAATAATCCACAGTTAAAGTTGCGACAGAGGCAGAAAATATCGCAGGATATTTTGGCGTCGGCGGCCGGATGCGCAGCAACTTGGCAAAGTTTGGTCTCCTTCGCAGCTTGTGGACAACTTGTGGCCCCTGTGTGTGTCTCCTTGTTGTGCTGCTGAGGAATGGGACTCTCTCTCCTCCTCCTACAGAGCCCGGGGACCACATAAACTACAGTCCGAGCGACCGAGCAGGGGTTACTCAAGAACAAGGAACGCGTCCGATATGATCTCCTTTAATATCCATGTGTGAGAAAACAATGGCTCGAGTTTTTAAAAAAAAGAAAAAGAAAACACGAGACGATCAGGCTGCAGTTTTCTCCACTTCTCACTCGCTTCTTGTTTTTTCTTCCCTAACAAGCGACGATCCGCAGTTTCTTCCTCTTGCAAAGTTGATCAAGGAGAAATAAAAGCCGATGCAAGTGTGTATAAAAATGTTCAACTGGACGTGGTCGCCCTTTCCCTCCACATTGCTGCCGGGGAATGCGCCCTGAAAAACTACTTGGTTGTTCAAGTGGAAGAAAAGCGCAGCCCGTCCGTAGGGGAGGAGTTTGCACTGAAAACCGACACTTCATTCACCACCATGTAGATCAGCTATTCTTCACTCTCAAGCCACCAACGCACAGCCACCACAGCATGCAGTGAAATGAGGGCATTTGGACGGAATAATGGAGGTTTGCAAATGGAGAGATACAGTAACCAAACACATAGGGCAGAATGAGACAGTTATTTATAGCAGTATTATTATTAGTATTAATGCTGACTTTATTTTTTAAAGGATCACTCAGTCAATTCTGCATGTGTTATGAGAATAAACTTATGTTTTCTTATGGGAAGTTGAAGGAAACTTAAGCAGCACCAATCTATCATGTGGTGATCAGCTGATACCTACGCAATATTGTCAGGGAAAGATAAGAGTGTAGGTTTTGTTTCAACATTTGGGAGGACACATATGTAATCAGTGGGTTAAGGGGTCCAGAAAAATTCAAACACTTGATTTAGTGCATTCAGGTGACATGTATGCATCAATTTGTGCATTTATGACTTTTTTATGTGCATTTTAATTTTGTCAAAAAAAGAAGCCTTCTGCTGCTTTTCTGTTTCTATTAATATAGAGGGGGATGTGTCCCCTCTGCCCCCCCCCCTTAAATCTACGCCTATGGGGCAAGAGACCACACTGCCTCCCTCTGTGTGAAAATGACAGACCAGGACTAAGTGAAAAAGTCATAATTACACACTGCCATGTAAATTGCACGTCTGTGTGTCCTAAAAACAATGCGCTGGGAAAGACAAAGCGCAATAACACCTGGGATAAGCAGGGGCCCATTGTGGCACAACTGTAGGCATGACAGAGAGAGGCAGCATGCAGGCCTCCTCTGACAGGACAAACCTCACTTCTCTGCCCCCCCCCCCTCTCTCTCTCTCTCTCTGGGCTGTAATACATGGCCCCATTGTTGATTTGAGGAACAGGACTGGAGGCCCTGTTTTGCAAGCAGTCTTGGAAGAAGGAGGAAGGGAAGTTGTTTCAGCTTTTTTTCTCCATTCCTGTGGAGTAACCTGCACATTAATCTGAACCATGACTCGGAGATGTGTTTTTTTTTTAAATGCACGAAAAAGAAATGTTTGCTCTCAAAGTTGCAAAGTTGGATGTACACACAGAAGTTAGCTGCTGCTCCTGTGTCCCTGAAGCTCTTTTAGAACATTTTCCATCCCCCATCCCGTCTTCACCTGTCTCAGTCCAAGTCCGATGGACCTCAGACTTCTCTTTACTTCTGATGCAATTCGACAGGCTTCCCCCCGTTTGAGAAAAGAAGTCATTGATGTTGTCGACTGCGTGTCAGCAAGCTGAGGGTTGACTGACAATTCAGCAGTGTCTCCACGGGCCTCATTAGATCCACACTCCTCCTGGGTGTGAGTGTGTGTGCGCTCAGTGTGTGTATTTGTATTCAGTTAAAAGCAACATATACTGTAGTTGCATACTGCATCATCTATGAATTGCATGCCGGGTGGTTATGGATAGTGGGGTTTCTCAGACGCAGAGATACAGGTTTGCACTTGCTTGCACACACACACACACACAGGTGAATATTTGCCCTCAGGGCTACATATCATTGTTTTTCTTGGCTACAGTATGCAGGGAATGCATTCTCCAAATGATGCTCGCAAAAGATGTTCATCCACATTTGTGATGCAACCCTTTAGACTGACACTGAGCTAAAATCTATTTTTTTTCCACCAAAAAAACGAAGATTTTTCCCCCCTAAATGTATCACATGTCGGAGATGTAATGGACTGTGCATGTCCCAGCAGGTGTAATTACAATTATTCAGTGCTCATGGACCATAGCTTTATGAATGATTAATAAAGAAATCAAATATTAAAACAAGTCAACACAGAAAAAATAATAATGACATGCATAAGCAGTCGCTGAGCAGGAATATCTCTTAAATACTGACACTTCTCACACAAGCACAAGTTTCAGCAGTGTGCTATTAAGCACCATTGGCATGCAGTAAGTAGACTGTTGTTCACAGTGAGCTGTAACAGAACAGCGAGACATAACACTTAGGTGATAAATGTAAAAAAAAAAAAATATCCAGCGTATCAGAAATGTTTTATTCCGAAGTGAGAAAGCCACCATTTCACAAACAAAAGGATGCCTATTGTTACAAAATGGATGCAGGCGTGACAATAAAGCAGACTAATTGATCGCTTTTAGCTTTAATGGAAGACATAATTATTACACATACATGTTTGCTGATTGAGAAATTTCAGGTGTCTTTTATGTGTTTTGTTTTGGAGCTCCATGCGCTGGTTTAATCATTAAAGCATCTGCACTTTTGCTTTTTTTTGTAGAAAATCTGACAATGGAGTATTTGGTAAAAATAAATTTCTTCATACCTGCAACATGTGAGAGGAGAGGATATTTATCTCCTTTAAATATGCCTACGTATCCCTCCCTTCTGTACGACTGCCTCGTTGGAGTGGGATTGGTTTTAACTGGGAGTTGATGAGGGGTCAGGAGAGATGCGAACAGCCACAATCTTAGCCTGGGGGCAGATCGACTGGTGGCCAGAAAATTTATTCAGTGGGTGCTGTCCCTGCATCTGCCTTACTTTGAAGTTGCTCTCTCAACTCTGGCTTGTCGTACGTGACAGTGTGTTCATCTACCCCCCCTTTCACTAAAGAGAGCGGGGGGAAAAGCAGAGATGGAGCACTCGTGTGTGTCGATACCCATGTATGTGATTCACCTTCCACGTGTGGTGTGTGTGCTCCTACCAGGGTGTGTATGGGTTCGTGTGTGTGTGTTTGTGTGGTGTTATGTGCGTGTGTTTGAAAGACAGTGAGGGAGGAGAGAGGGGGGAGATGCTGCGTGCCAATCCATACTCGCTTTGGAGAATTCAAGGTCATTCTTTCATGTTTTGCCAACCATCGGTCAATCAGTTTCCAATCAAAGTGGTGCTTAATTCAGCAGTAATTCCCATCTCCTCATCACGTTTTCGCCTCACTATTCCAGAGGCGTTAAAGCATTTCCCTTGTCTTCCCTCTGATCTGCTGCAGTGTGTCCAACATGTCTTGCCAGGGCCAAACCCGCCCTGTCAAGCTCTCTAATAATACTAGTTAAAGTGTGCGGAGGACATGTCAGATCACACAATGTGCGACTGCTGCGTCCATCTATCTCACTTCAGGAGATTTAGGTCTCACTTGATTGTCTTTGAAGCGTACCCAAGTCATGTTCTTTCATTAATCCAAAGAGCCCTCCGCGATGTCTCCATTCGTTTTTTTTTGTACGGCTTGAATTTCGGGAGATGGTGCAAGAAGATGGTCAAAGCAAATCTGGAAGAATTATGAAAGATATGACCTCTTAGCCTTGCATTAAGATGCTCAATAAAACACATTGTTTTCTGTTGTTTTTATGGCAAAAAAAAGATTCAAGGGTTTCAAATCATTCAATATCTGCCACTTGTGTTGAATTATCCACGCTGTCTATACATTTTTTAAACATCCTGAAACTCCCCTCGTATGACCTCGATACATAAACACCGAATGTGTACCAGCTTTCTTTCAGACATCACAGAAGGATCAACAGATTTAAAAGACGGGAAAAGCTAAACATTTGTCTTTTTAACCAAAGGGCAGGATCCACTGCAGATGGATTTACACAACTCGTTTTTGCATCACCGCTGTGCCATATTAGCTCACCTCCTCAGTCATCACACTAAGTCTGGATGGGAGTGCCTCATGCAATCATGGATCTCACAAAAATAACCTCATATCCGTTTTAATCCACAGAAAGGTCTCCTTTCCAGGCTGGTATGGGCGTATATGGCATTTAAGACTGTGTGAGGATATGATTAGATGACAGCTTTTACTGCCTAAAGGGTGTAACTGAAACACTAAACTGTGCAGAGAGAGGAGAAAATAAAAGACTTTGTTGCAAAGTTTGATTCCTTGCCTCTTTCCTTCTCACTGGTGTTCTGTTGCATTTTGTAGTATCCTTATCCTGAAGACAAGAAAGTGTTTGGTTGCAGAAAAACGCTCAAAGACAGCGTAAGGAAATGACTGTGTTTATTTCGATATGATCAAATCAGATTCATTACAGCATTTCATTTTGTGAGATACAGAGTGAATTAACACATTTTTGTCCAGTACTGTAAGACTCCAGGAAAGACAATGTGTGGATGATTCTTGTGTCACCACAAGCTAATCAGTGCAACCTCATAAGGCTTAAAAGACATCAAACATGTCCGAGTACCCCAGCGTG